CTGTCTCGTGCGCTGGACTGCGGTGCCTCGCGAGCGCTAGGCGCGAGCATGGACAGAGGTACTGCCTGGCCTCTGTGACGTGGCACGGGCACGGCACGCGCGACTGGCGCGGCAGGTGACCCTAGCCGGTCCTTTGCCGAACTTCCGGCAACTTTTTCGGGGACTACTGAACCAAACCAACATAATATGACATAAAATACTCAAAAATGCCAAAAAGTCACTGAGGGACCTTGGTTGGATTTAGAGATGGGCTCATAGGGCCGATTAGGCACGAGGCCACACTAGGGCACAAAAATGAACATGCTCAACATGCAATTTCACTTAAGTCCGAATACTTAACATAAAAAATCATGACTATAAGGGCTGGGACATTGGCTATAACTCGCATTCATATAACTTAGGCTCGGAGGTGAAAATATGCTCGATTTTACTAACAACTTGACCGAAACAATGAACTCAAAACATGCCTATATTTTACCAATGTCATTCTCATGATTTTTGAGGATTTTTAAGCCATCAAACTCGGCCATATCATGCATGCATCATAAAATTCGAATTTAAGGGACTAAATTTCAAAAATTCGAAACTCCACTTTAAATGCGAGCATGGCTTCATTTCTTTACATGATAAAATCTTAAAATATCATGTATATGCTGGGAAAAATGGATAACACGAGCTAACCTTGCTCAAAAGCCGAAATGATACCCAAAGGGCTTTGCTCGGGTCTACTCGCGGCTTGGGGTCCTTGAGCCCGGTTGAAGGCTGAAATGGCTGAAGGAATACACTCTGGACACTCAGAAAAATCCAAATAACCTTTGTAAAATGCTAAGCCTCGAGAGGTATGGCTGGAAACAAGTGGAACACGAGTTCTCCTCTTCCCCGGGGCACACGTGCACGCGGCTAGGCTAAGGACTTAGCTCTCGGTTTTGCTCACTAATTCCTCTCAATTTGCTGAAGTTCTCTAAGTGTCCAAGGGCCTTAACAACTCAGAGAAGTGTCCCTTAAATGGAGTGAGAGGGGCGGAGCTATTGAGGCACAAAAGTGGGGGACAAAGGGATCACATGCGCACATGAGACAAGGCCTTGGTGCACGGATTCCTTGGGGCTGCTATGCACGGAATTTGGGAGAATATTGCAGAGCATCTTGAGTTAAAAATGTGCATTGGGCAGGCCTTGGTCGGCTGGAGCGCAAGGGGACAAGGTTCCCAACATAAACAATTGCACATGGCCCCTCCACTCACATTTAAATAATCCCTAGTGCCCATGTGACATCCTTAATCCTTACTTAGGGCATCCTAAGCTGAATTAGTCCTCCATTAACCCCTTAATACTCGCATGATACTTGGGCCAAGATTTGGGCTCGGAATAATCACGCCTTGGGCCAAAGGAGTGGACCCGCGCGCTGTCGGGCCCTGGGCGCTGCTGGGCCCTGGGCGCGAGCTGGGCGCAAGGAATGCTGGCCTGGCTGCGCGCGAGAAATACTTGGGCTGAGCAAAACATGAGTCTAGGGTTGGACTTAAGTGCTTCCAACACTTAGAAAAATCCTTGGAAACATGGCCATAGCCAAGGCCTACTCGGCGCGACTCAAGGCACCCACACGCGGCACTATGGCGCGAGGCTTGGGCGCGGGCACTAGGGGGCGACACTAGGGACTTGGGCCGATCATGAAACACTTGGCTAGGGCTGAACTTGTGGTTCATTTAAGGAACCAATATACTGAAAATAGGCCACATTACTAACCATGACTTGGGCACTCGCGGCTTGGCGATGCACGCGACACTTAGGCGCGAGGACTCGGACCCGTGCACGAGCTCGGTGCGGGGTTACTTAGGCCGAGGGAATGATATCGAAGGCTCGATAAAAAAATGATCCATACTTAGAAAATATTCTAAGTAAGGCTATGAGCACGACTAGGGCTCGAACAAGACTCGAGATTACTAGGCTCGAGAATTGGTTAGGCGCGATACTCGTGACCGAACGACTCAGTTCTGGACACGGCTTGACTTGGACGATTTATCGAAACATACTCGGTTTCGATTATTCGTCAACTGAAATAATTAATTTCGATTGAATAAAATCCATTGCTAAAAAGAATGGACTGGAATTAATAACTGAGATTGAATAGCTAATAACTGGGCTCGGAACTCAAGACGAGCATTATTAATAAAAAGAAATAGTTCAACTGGGAACTAAAAACTGTCATTTTATTAATACAGAACTGGGCTATTACACCCATTCCCCAATTTTCTTTCGATAAAAAAAAATCCCTTAATTTCAAAATTGGTCACTGAACATCAACCAACTCTCATCTTCTATCTTTAATTGCTCGTTCTTCCTGAATAAGACATATCCAAAAGAAAATTTGTTCTCAACTTCAAGGACGACTGAAGTGACGGGAACGGGTTTGTAAATTGCTTAAATGTTTTGATCAAATTTCTCCGCTTTAGCTGTAATGTAAGTATTTTATTGTTCAACTACTCATATCAATTTTTTTTTTTTTTTTTTTATTTTTTTTTTTTTTTTTTTTGGGTGAATTTTTAAACTCAACTTGTGTTTGTATTAAATTATATTGTATTTGTTTTTCCCTTTCAATGCAATTTTGTCTCCGTCGAACGAACCTGGCTCTCGGTAATTCGTTGTGTGTACAATTTATGCAAGAACTGAAATATTGAATTGAATTATTTTTTTAGTCGGCTCATCCTCTCATGGCTGGTACAGTGCTACTGCTGCAACTTGTAAAGAAGTTTATTATTAGTTCACAAATCACACAGTTTATAAGTTCACAAATCACACTTATCATAATGAGTTTGTTGGCTTCTGTTGATTGTTGATGACTATTGAGGTTTGAATTTAAAAAATTCTTATGTTAATTGAGAAAGATGTATTTAATAGCATTAGCAATGATGCTATTATGCATCGGTTTCAAAATATAAAATCACGTCGTGGACAATTACCTTCTCGGCATGACTGAAAAGTTGTAATTTTTTTTAAATTAAAGTGAATTAAAACAAGAAAAAACTAAGTATTTTATCATATAATATTGCCCTGACTGATAAAAAATCCTGTATCCGCCGCTGCCAGTAGCCAACTCCAATTCTTATGGATTTTGAGGCAGTTTGGTTGTGGAGCATTTACTGGTAAAGTTATTTAGAAATATTAAATGAAAGAGGACATATAGTCAAGAGAAATTTACCTAGGGCACGATATAAACTACTTTTAATTGTATATCTACGAGATTTTATTTTTAATTGTAAACATACGGTATTTATTCATCCCGAACACAAATCAATGCCAGTATCATCTTTCATGTTTCTTCTTCCCTTTTACAGATCTATTACGTTCCTTTTTTCTCTCTCTCTATTTTTTTTTTTTTTATTTCTTCTTCTTTTCATAGATCTTTCTCCTCCCCCTCTTTTTTTTCCTCATAGTTTCTTCTATCAAATTTGTTTTGTATGTTCGCGATTTATTTTTCTTCCATTTTTCTTTTTTTTTCCCACTTTCTCAAAGCTGATGGCAGGACTGAGAAAAAAGTGCACGACGTCTCCATATGCAGCGCCTCCTACATTGTTGCTTCACTAGATTCCGCTCACTGCCGCCGATTGGATCTTTTGCGGCAATAACGAGTCAATCGTCGCTCTGATTGCCGGTCGTCAGGTGGATCTTTTGTGACAGCCACACGTCGGTCGGCGTCTACGCACCGCCCTAGGTGATTCTCTTCGTCTCCTCCTCCTTGATGGCAGCGATCGAATTTTGGGTAAAATTGGATTGGACGGCTCTGCTAGGTAGGCTTTGAGATTCGGTCATAAACCTCCAGGTTGTCTTTTTTTTTTTTTAATCAGGAATTCAATAAAATATTTTCCATAAATCGACTCATTCTATGCACGGATAATACGCCTGCTTGTTTTTTATAAGGAATACCATATAAAAAGGAACATAATCCATTTAGTTTTGGTAACAGATAAAATCGTGTAAAGACAAATAATTAACATTGATTTTGTTGACTTGCTAATTATTTACTCTTAATAGTAGATTTGTAATTATTTGTAAATCATAGAGGATGCGTGTAAATTGGCCATTTAAAAACATGAGTTCAATTTCAATTCTTGGAAAAAATAAAGAATATTGGGCCATTAATGTAACGATAACTATTATATAAATTTTTCGGGATTTATATAATATGTAAATAAGATAGCCTAGCCCAACTAAAGGTCTTTCTAGAAATTGAAAGACTGATTTGAGACACGTATATAACATCTGAAACAAACGCGTGACGCGTGTTTATGACCGTTCGCGAACTTCTTTTAATGAGCGAGAAACCCTAATAACTGGGGTTGTTTCGCCACTCGGCGCACTTGTTCTTTGTCCATTTTTCTCTCATATGAAACACACTTCTTCGACCTTTCGTATGTCATTTTCGCCGAGAACCTAACTGAAAATATAGTTTTACAGGAGATTCTTTGACGCTTCTCAAACAGATGTCGAAAATATACCTGAGTTTTTTTTTTCGACCAAAAAGAGAGATCGACAAAGAGATATCGACCTGTTTTTATAAAATTGAAATACTAAGTGATAGTATTTCTATTCAAATCGGGTCGATAAATCCTTAGATCTTTCAACATCTGAAGTAATTACAAAGTATTTAATTTAATTTGTTGTAAATAATATTTTGTTTGATTTTCTGAAGGTTTTATGAAGTTTTGGACAATTTTGTTAGCAGATCTGTGAAGATCTTAAGTTAAATCAATTTTTTTGTTTTTCATTTGTTTTGAAAAACATATTCGTTTGTTTTTCCGACTGTTTAAGACGTTTTCGACTTTTTTTTTAGATCTGGTAGGATTTTTAAATTATTGTTAAAAATCTATACTTGTATAAGCATATTCAAGTTCTCTGTTGTTAAAATTATTAGAAATTGTTCAAGGTCTTAGCAGATCTGTTCAGATTTTATTAGGTTTAACATTTTTTTTTTTTTACTTGCAGAACTTCTTGCTGCCATAAAGGGTTTGGACAGCGAGCTCGACTCATTCTTCTTGCTGCCATAAAGGGTTTGGACAGCAAGCTCGACTCATTCAGAGACTGGTGACTAAAACCCTCAACTGGTGACTACAAAGGTAAACTTTGTAGTAACAGTATTTGTTTTTACTAATTATTACTAATTACTAATTGCTATATAATTAAAGTCTTCAACATTTGCTTTTACTGATTGCTACTCATTTCCGACTGGACAATATAATATGCAGTTTGTTTATAATTAACATTTTAGGGAACAACATAATTTATAGGTAAAAAAAATATCAATAAAAGTGAAGGATCTACCGTCCTGAAAAGCCTTTGCTCGGCAACATTGAACAATGAGTACACGCAAGTTATTCACGGGGTATTGTTCAAGGCATCAACAATTATTTGCACATATCCTTCCCACAATGGCATCCCCTAAAAAATTATAGATAATAAATTTTGAACAACAAATAAAATCGTAATTACTTAAATTATAAGGAAGTGATTATGAACTATAACTTACTCAACATCTTCAGAACAACATTGATAAACTTTTTCTCAATGCCATTTGAATATGTTGTTAGTATGCTTTGGACCATAGTAATACGTCCAATCAAATCTAAAAAATAAAACAATATAAATTAATGTTTTATATTGTAGCACAAGGGGAATGACAGAACTTGTTTTCATAATAAACAAAAAATTTACCAAAAATCTTGTATATTTAATCGAGATAGTCGATTGTTTGAGGGTCAGACATCTCTTTGAAATTTTTTAAGTTAGAACATCAACCTCGGGTAGTTGTCGTCAACTATCTCGTATATGTTTGTGTGTTCACCAAACTCAAACTTATGACTTGAATCCGTTATTTTGAATGCATTTGTGTCCTTAAGTTGCCAACCATTAATCCCATACACACGTCCTTCTAGAAGGTTGAAGTTGTTGAATTTTTTTGCCAAGAAACCGGGTGCCGAACCATGAATCGCTGCCCCTTAAAAAGGAAAAAAATATAGTATTAGCAAAATATCAATGACACATTTAAAAAATAAATAAGTAATACAACGTCCAAAAAAATTAGTAACACCTTAGAATCATGAAAAATGAAATCGATCTCTCTTATGCTTTTTTGGCTCGATTTGTAGAACTTGGGATAAGTTCGGGCCAATATGAGTTTTGCCGTCATTTTTTTTTTTTTTTTTTTTTGNGTATTTTGTACATTGCTGGACGTTTAACATTTTAACGTTTAACAAAAATGTCATAAATACAAACCTTACATGATAAAAATTATTATACATAAAAAATAATGATAAAAAACAAATACAATTAATTTATATATAGAGAAATGCCATTATACACTATAAGACTAATGATAAAAATATATATAACTATATAATATACATATAAAATAAATAAAAATTATATATTAATTAAACCGGTTCGACCACTGGTCCGACCAGTGAACCATTGAACAGATAGTTTCACCGGTTCGATGAACGGTTCGGTTTTCAGAACATTGGGTAGGACCACTATTAGTATCATGTAAGATGCCAAGCACAATGCAGCACTCCAAAGCGACTAACAACATGATTGGATATAAATCCAACCCAAAAAATTCAATCATTTTTAACTCAAACACTTTTTTTAACTCAACTTAACTCAACCCCACTATCATCAATATTATCAATATGATTAAATAATATCAATTAATCATTCTTACACACAACATCAACCTTAATTAACTATTCATCACCTCACATAATTTTAACTAACCATCACATCACACATTCTCTCTCCTACTTTTACATCAATTTAATTTTAATCATTTTATTTTAAATATTATTTTAATATACCCACTAACAACTAACCATACCAACTTTTTCAAATTTAACCAACCCAAATAAAAAATCCAATCAAAACAAAAACATTTTATATCCAATCATGCTTTAAAAGTTCAACAATGAGTATTTTCCAGAGTACGACTTACACAATGAAAGAAAAAACATAAGCATTGGCAACCGCCACATGAATGGACTCAAGAACAGATAAAATTTGGCAACAAATTTAATGTCCGAACACAATCTTAAATCAATCAAAATTGTAGTACACTCACCAAGAGATAAATAAATTTTGGAAGGTGGCTTGAATGGCTGTGTTTCGTATAAGCAAAACAAGCAGTAGAGCCCACCCAATCTAATTGAGAGAGAACCTGCTGAAATCATGTGACCTACAACCACAAAAATTAACACACAAAAAAATACAGCTTATCAATCACGAATAATCCTAAATATATTGAATGCTCCAGTCACAACTAACTATGCCAAGACAAGAACTTTCACA